CGGTAGAGTTTTTCGGTGACTTGGATGTGATCTGTCACTGCCCTGAGGACGTGCGCGTCACCCTGCAGAATGTTGGTGTGGTACCGGGTTTGGCGCTAGATATTCTGTCGCTGAACAAGATCCAGGATCGCCATGAGATCAAGCTTAACCGGCATGGAGCATCGATCTTGGGGGGGCGAGTGCGCATGACAAAATTCCCTCACGGGAATTACATCCAGGGAACTCGCGTTAATCCACTGCCTCAACGCGACTCACCTCCTCAGCCCCCCGCGATGGTTGNATCGACCTTGGGGGGCGAGTGCGCATGACAAAATTCCCTCACGGGAATTACATCCAGGGGACTCGCGTTGATCCACTGCCTCAACGCGACTCACCTCCTCAGCCCCCCGCGATGGTTGCGGCGATGCTACGGCCTGGCACGCAATCCAGCATCGACTACAACGCTCTTCACTGCTCCCTCGGTCATGCCAATTCCAAGACGCTGTACGAGACTGCCAAGCAGATGGGTATCAAGGTGACCGGCTCTCCGGAGTACTGCGATGGATGTGCGGAGTCGAAGGCGATTTCAGCGCTCGGTCCCCAAGGTCATCTCCCCCTCCCGCCGGACGACGCGGCCTCTTGAGCGTGTCGCGATGGACCTAGCCGGTCCGTTCGGCCAATCCAGCGGCGGTGCCAAGTACGTGATGCAGACCCTGGACCACCATACCAACTACGGATGGATTTGCTTTCTGCGGGAGAGGAGCGGTACAAACGTGGTTGCGGCCTTTCGTGCGTGGTATGCCTCCATCAAATCGCTCTTGGCTACTCACGGGGGGCTGGGCTGTGTTCTGACCGACAACGGCACGGAGTGGGTCAACGCGGAGTTTCGGGGGCTGCTGGCGGAGCTGAACATTACGCGGGAGCTCACGGCGGTCGACGGGCCCAAGAGCAACGGTCGTGTGGAGCGGAGGATTGCACTAGTGATGGAGGGGGGCAAGGCTGCGTTTCTGGAGTTCCCGAAGCTTTTCCCCGGAGTTATGTTCCCGACCAAGGCGCTGTCCTTCCGGGCCATCTGGCCCGAGGCCTTCGCGTGGATGAACGACTCTCTGAACATCGCAGCGGAGGTGAGCAAGGAAGACAAGCGGTGCCCGGTGGTTAAGTTGAACGGCAGGAGGAGGATCCGAGTGCTTCTGCCGTTCATGATGCCCGGCTTCCGTCACCGTCACCGCCCGTCCAAGATGCACAGCAAGGGGGAGCGGTGCTTCTATCTGAACTCAGGCCAGGATCATTCCTCTACGACGCACAAGATCATCACGCCGGCTGGGGTGCCCACCTACTCCGAACACTGCACCTTCGGCTTCAGCAGCCAGGGCTTTCGAGGAGATGGGCGTTCTTGGGGGTCGGAAGGGGG